TGCAGAGTTTAGCTCCAACCCTAATTAAACACACCTGAAGCTAATCAAGGTCTTCAGGATTGCTAAGGTTACAGGCAGGTGAGTGTTTTTTCAGGGTTGGAGCTAAACTCTGCAGGACAATGGCCCTCCAGGATCAACGTTCCCCACCCCTGCCTTAGACGGTAGCGCCAACTTAGCACGCGGTCCAGCAGAGGGCGGGCAAAGGTGGGTTGCTATGGCCTCTTCCGAGGGGGGGAAGCAAGAGGTATCCTCTGTCCTTCGCAGCGTCCACCCTGCAGGTGAGTGTTTTTTCAGGGTTGGAGCTAAACTCTGCAGGACAATGGCCCTCCAGGATCAACGTTCCCCACCCCTGCCTTAGACGGTAGCGCCAACTTAGCATGCCGTCCAGCAGAGGGCGGGCAAAGGTGGGTCGCTATGGCCTCTTCCACGGGGGGAAGCGAGAGGTATCCTCTGTCCTTCGCACCGTCCACCACGGAGAATGCAGCCGAGAGAGAGGAACGCACTCGAGCAGAGAGAGGGGCGTTCCAGGATTTCGCGACTTCTTCGTGAAGCTCAGGAAGAAAAGGCGCTGATCTGGAAGGCGGCGGGGCGCGGTCTCCTCAAAGAAAACACCCATCACCCATCGGTTACGCGCTGGCTGCGCGGGCGCTTCCCACTCGAAGCCGAGGCTCGCCACGGCCTGCGAGAGTAGACGCATTAGCTCCGACTCAATGCTAGCTCTCTTGCCAACTGACTCAGGAACAGTGGGGGGGAGGTCCGCAGAGCTCGCCCAGTCCTCACTGTCCGACGCCAGAAGGGAACAGCTAGCCTCCTCATCAGATCCAGCTGGCTCGTCGTCCTCGATGACGTAATCGGCGGCGGGCGGCGGCTGTTGAGCGTCCGGGAGAGAGCCGAGAGAAAGCGGCGAAGCTGGCGGGCGAAGCGGCGAGCTGTCGCGAGCTTGAGGAGGCTCAGGGACCCGCTGAGTGCGGCGCTTTTTACGGCGCGGTACTGCAGCGGGCGGGGTTGCAGACTCGGAGAAGGAAGCCAGGCGAGTCCTCAGAGTCACCATCGGCAGTAGCTCACAGTGAGGGCATCCGCCGTCATTGAGCGTGAGTGCTGCATGATCCTCACCCAGGCAGGAAACGCAGATGACATGGCGGTCCCCGTCGCTGAGTTGGGCTCGGCACGAGCCGCAGGATGACGGCTTCTTTAAAAAGACGCAGCTCTTTTAGAAAAAGTGAGTTGCGGGGGCGAACACACAGTGAGCAGAGTGTAAAGGATATGAATGCCGGATAGCGTAGCAGGAAGCGGCGACTGAAGGCGGCGAGATGAGGCCAGCGGCTTCAGGTGATGGCTTGTCCTGCAGAAGGCTTTTTCCACGGCGCGGCTTCTTCACTCGGGATCCAGCGATGCAAAGCTTAGCTGAAGAGATGAAAAATCAGTGAGATCAGCCCATCGAGCTATCTTTATAGGGCTAGACCACGCCCCTTTGGGCGCGAGCGTGACAAAATGGGCGCGAAGCGCCCCCATTGGACCGTCACCAAAGGGCCGCTCTCGATAGGCTGCTGCAGTTGCCGCAGGACAGCCAATAGGCACGCTGAGCCGCCTGCCTATGTCTGTATGCTGCTGCAACGCGTTTTGCAATAATTCAAAATTAAGGATCATTTTTTGTCTTCAATATCTCGAGGAAAAGAGGTTTTCCCCGAGCGTAAATATTACGCAGTACGAGAGAACCTCTCGTAAGAGAACCAAATTTAGATCACTTTGCACACAGCTGATACTTTTTTCATTTAAAAAGGAATATCTGAAGAACAAATAATGTTGAAACTAGAAATGTATCTAGTTTTTTGCTATCAAGTCAATTGCATAGAGCATACCTGTCTGAGTGCCATAAATAGTCTTTTTTCCAAAGTTTGAATGCCTGCATGTCTTCTTATCGTCGTCTTTATATATATATATATATATAAAAAAACAAAAAAACATTAAAAATACATTTATGAAAGCATCAAAGGCATCTAACAGTAGCTTATTTAGATTATTTGTTTGACTTTTCAAGTGAGCATTGCAAAGGCTGTCTGTGTTTCTCTACCCCAGTGGGGTGAAACTGTGCATCACTTTGCTTCGCTTTGCTTTCCACTCTACAGAACCGGCCATGAAAAAATGTTTGTAATAAGGAAAGAAAACGGATCTCTGTTCAGTGGAGTTCAGTGGCCATGAACAAACTTCCAAGATGACTCACAGGAGTAAATCCAACACATGCTGCTAATATGCTACTTGGCGCAACACAAGGTGAAATATGTTTTTCCAGAACAAAGTGTACAAGCACACGTTTATCCAAAAAAAAAATGACATTCATTTATCATGATAAAAAATTCCATGTAAATATGGAGGGAGGTCCAAAAGCATGAGACCACCAGTGGAAATGATTTTTCATTACAACTTATATCAGCATAATAAATTGAGTGGAAAGTTGAAGTGAAAAATTAACATGAATGTCTCAGTGTCTGGTACTGTTGCCCTTTAGCTTTATTGGCAGCAGCCCTAAAGCTGCAGGAGCTTTTACATTACCAAACTTTTTTTTGTTGTTGTTTTTGCATTTGCTTATTTCATTAGTGACTTAGAAATGTTACAGAAAGCTTAACTTTTTTTATTTTACATTATGATTTGAAAAACCATTAAAAATAAACCATTTTTTAAAAACCTTGAAACCTCCTGTTTATTTACAGATTTAAAGGGGTGGTATAATGCCCTTTTCACAAGATGTAAAATAAATCTCTGATGTCCCCAGAGTGTGTATGTGAACTTTTAGCTCAAAATACCCCAGATATTTTTAGCATGTTAAAGTTGTCACTTTTTTAGGGTGAGCAAAAACGCACCGTTTTTGTGTCTGTCCTTTTAAATGCAAATGAGCTGCTGCTCCCGTCACAGAGGGCGGAGCTACAACAGCTTGTGTCCTTAGCAGCTTCGATTACCTCACACAGACATGCACTAAACATTTCAAAAACTTTTAGCCTTTTATGTTCAAACCAGAGTCAGACAAAGATGGAGAGACTCAAGCAGAAGTGACAACATGTAGACAACATTTCTGAATGGTTAGTTGGTGAATTTATGTAGCTTTTAATATGTGTAGTTATCTTCTAGTCATTGATTACCATATTCTGTCTTGATAATCTATAAATCGTGTTGCGGGGGCAGGGTTTATGTACATTTTAGGGTTTGTGATGTCACTAACCCGGGAGGAATGTCGTGTAGTCCCTACCAGCCGTTTGTTGTAGTTCTTAAAAAGCAATTTCTTTAAAAGGAAATATCTCCCTTTGCTTTCAACTTTGAGCATCGTAACTGTGTTGTTTATGCTCAAACAGCAACATTACAAACTAACTACAGTTAGAAAAGTGAAATCATAATCAACCACCCCTTTATATTGATTTTCAAATTGTCAGTATACTCTTACACACACACACACACACACACACACACACACACACACACACACACACACACACACACACACACACACACACACACACACACACACACACACACACACACACACACACACACATACATACATAATATATATGTATATATATATATATATATATATATATATATATATATATATATATATATATATATATATGCATGTTGGTGCAAATATAATGAAACATTTTTTGCTGTAATATTTTAGTTGAAACTATGATATATATTTTTTCATGATTCTTTGATGAATAGAAAGTTAAAAAAGCATATTTCAAATACAATTTTTTTTTGAATATTTACTGTCACTTGATTAATTTAATGCATCCTTTTTAAATAAAAGTATTAATTTATCTTTTTTTTATCTTAAAATCACAGGAATAAATTACATTTTAAAACATATTCAAATAGAAATCATTTATTTTAAATGTAACTTTTACAAACGTTTGACCAGTAGTGCATGTATACACACACATTGTTAAACTTTATTATTGTTTTAAGTTGACTTTACAGTAAAAATGTGAAATGTACTCTTTCAAATTTCCAACTAGTGTACCACAGGTTGAAAACTGCTGCTTCTGTACAGAATGAAAGGTCATTCTGTGATTTACCGTCTCGAACCTAGACGTGTGACAGTGCAGCACGCTCTAAATCTTTGTCTCCGCTGCCCTGACTTGTGTGTGTAATCACTCGTCTTTGATGAGGAAGATGCTATTATGCTAGCCCGGGGCATGAGGGAACTCATCCGTGTCCACTCATGTGTGGCCTCCTGTCAGCTGGAGCAACAAACAAAACTGCTCATCATGGGTGGGTGCAGTTTATCAGAGTTCGCCATTAAGGTGGGCATTTTTATAGACTGGAGTTTACAAATAACTCTCTGAAAAAGCCTGATGTGACCTCAGAGTTGCACAATGCGGGTTAGGCATGAACGATGTCACTTCTCAAACATTTTAAAGCATGAAGATGAATATAGTATGAGAGAGAGAGAGAGAGAGAGAGAGAGAGAGAGAGAGAGAGAGAGAGAGAGAGAGAGAGAGAGAGAGAGAGAGAGAGAGAGAGAGAGAGAGAGAGAGCATGGACTTTACATCCGCTCTATCTCAGTGCAGGTGATGCACACCTGTGTGGAGAAATTAGCTGCCCTTTGGAAGTACGCAGCACTGAATGTCATGTTATGATTCGGTCAGGTTTTCCCATTGGTGGACAGGTGCTCACCACAATGGAACTATTGTCTAATTAGGGCATAAGCACGCATATCAAACCTTATCTCGACTTCGTTTGACTGCTATTCAAAGAAAGTGATTTCCATCTGCCACATGCGAACGTGTGTGGTCAGATTTAAATGGGCCGGCACATCAAAAATGTTCAAACTCTCTAATGTTTTGTTTCTTTGTGAATCCTTGGGTGACCAGGCCTGAATGCTCTTCTTTGATCTTCAAAGGCGTCCATGGGTTGCAGTTGTTCTCAATCTTACATCTCAGAATTGGCATCTTGATAAATGCTGAGTGTATTGTAAATGAAACAGGAGAAGATTATCTCGATACCTTTTCATAGCGTGTCTCCATGCACAGGAAGATGATGTAGGCCGTAGCACAAGCCAGGCAGCCTTCCAGGTAGGACTGACCGCCAATCTTTTCAGCCTCTGCATAGTAGCAGTTGAGCGTCTTCATCGTTACTTCAAACAGGCTCCTCTCGATCTGTGCACAACAGTCAGTTCAAACCAATGTTTTCATGGACGGAAAACTATTATGAAGACAAAAATTATTCCCATGGAATGGATTAACTGATAAAATGCATTAAATGAAAAAAGAAAAGAAAATGTTTTTGTAAAAATACAAGTAATATGCATTACTGTTCCTAAGTTTGGAGTCGGTAAGAAGCCTCTTATGTTCCCAAGGCTACATTTAGTAAATATGGTAATATTGTTAAACATTATTACAATTTAAAATAACTGTTTTCTAATTTAATATATTGTAATTTATTCATATTGAAGACTATAAATTGACTGTTTAATGTTATTTTTTTGTATTATTTTTCTTTATTAATTTTCATAATAATTTCATAATTTATTTTGTGGAGTCAGAGTATGTTTGTGAGCTGGGAGAGTTATATATTTTGCTTAAAGGTATGTGTGCAATGCAACGTTCACTGAGCAGAGATGTTCCAATGATGATGATACTTCAAATGTGTGCAGTTGGCATGTTCTTTACAAGGAAGTTAAAGGAACTGATGCAAATGTACCATTAATGTATACACAGAGGGATAGTGGATTGCACCATGTGTAATCATGAGGTATACATTCCATTTTAAAAATAAGCATCATGTTTTTCTACCTTACAAGGAAGTTGAAAGTCGCTCAGTGGTGTATATAAGCTCAATCCTTACTGTACTGACTCAGAGAAACATAAAGGCATGAGGGGGGTGAGAGGAAGGAGAAACACAGAGAAACCATTACAGCTGGCATGATGGGGTGAGGGGACAGAGAAATGGGGAACAGAGGAATCTGGAATGAAGACCACCTCGCCTGTAGCCTTATTCTTATACAGCATGATTTTCAAATCTACAATATGATGGAAAAGCTGAATTTTCAGCATCATTACTACTGTCTTTAGTCAGAAATCATTAGAATATGCCGATTTGGTCCTCAAAAAACATTTCTTATTATTGTCAATATTAAAAACAGTTGGTCTGCTTAATATTTATTTGTGGAAAATATGATTTTTATTTTTTTTGATTCTAAAAAGTAAAGTAAAAAAAAATTCAGAATTATTTGAATAGAACATTCTGTAACAATTTAAGTATTTACTTTCACTTTTAATCAATTTAATGCATCCTTGCTGAATAAAAATGTAGTAAAACTTTTGAATGGTAGTATAAAATTGGGCAAGTTGCTGAAGTGCTTTTGATGTGTAAACACGGATCGACTTGCGTCAATACAGTATATCCATCTCTATGACGTCAGAAATTTCCCAAAGTTCAGAGGGAGCCATTTTTACAGCTTAGTGTCAGTAAACGAGGGAAGGCATTTTGAGTATGATAAATTACAATATGTTTACATTGACCTTTTCATTTCAAAAGATCAAGGAAAGTTTGATTTGTCATTGTATGATCCCTTTAAGATCGATGCAATCAAAAGTTTTAAGAAAAAAGCAATGCCTCATGGGATGTGCGCCTACATAAAGGGCAGTAACACATCAGACGTCGCCCCAAACCCTCATTTAAAACTTACCCTGCTCTCCAGCTCTGCGGGAAACTTGGTCTGGAATTTGCAGATGGTGCTGTCACTGTAGTCTCTCTGAATGAAGACCTTGGTGGCCAGAGACGCACTGTGACGCAGCTCCTGGAGGTTGTGGAACTACAAAGAGACACAAAATAGACAGTGGTCTCAAAGGCGGCACTCTTAAGCACGTATCTGAAACTTAAAATGACAAATGCTGCAGTCACTATGCCATTGATATAACTAGAGCCTTGTGTGTATCGTTTTATACGTTTTCCTTGTACTTGCACGGTTAAATCATTGTACATGTGGAAAAGAATGGCAGATTTGACACTTAAAATTGAGAGGGTCCGGACAGTATGGCATTGTGTCAATTCATTTAATGATTTATGATTTATATCTCTTCCAAGACACACAGAAAACCTACAGTATAAAATGATAGAGCCTGGACCTTCATCAAGTGTCTCAGTCTATCAAAATGAAAAACGGATAAGGGTCTCTGAGGCAATAATATTTTAAAATATGAAGGTACATGTATGCATGTTTATAAAATTGGGGCCAGAAAGAAGACAGAGCATCAATCAAAAGAAGACAAAGAAACACTCAATGAGTTGTTTTAGGACTTTGTGTAAAAACCATATTCACCAGCTCTGGAAACATAAATTTAGAGAGCCAAGAGAGAGAATGAAACCTGATGAAACCAAGACGCAAATGCAGCTCTAATGATTTTGCTGTGTCCTCTTTCTCCTGATTCTCTAATTGACAATACAGTCGGACATACATATTCCAAAACTCAGTCTATCTATAGTGGCTGGAGGCAAATATGTTTCAGAAATTTCATAATCAAATAAAAACTTTCAAAAACAAAAAAAGACTTCCTTCAGGTTTTACTGCTGTTCATGAAGCTTTCTGTCAGACACTGAGCACAATCATGCATCAGTTTCTTTCTTTCTTTCTTTCTTTCTTTCTTTCTTTCTTTCTTTCTTTCTTTCTTTCTTTCTTTCTTTCTTTCTTTCTTTCTTTCTTTCTTTCTTTCTTTCTTTCTTTCTTTCTTTCTTTCTTTCGAGACCTTGTTTCCCCCTTATAAACAAATCCATATTTTAACAGATCAAGATGTAAGACAAGGCTCACAGCTTTATTTTCAGCAAAAATTAATTGGCCTCAGTTGCGGTCTCATTAGTATAATTGCTGAAAGCTTTGATGCCAAAAATAAGTCTATTGTTAATGGTCTATTGCTACCATACTAACGTTAGCCTACTCTGTAGGGCCAGTGCTGAAACATACAGAACGAATTATAAAGGTTAAACGGTCCTTTACAGGTGTAAATTATGACTTCATGGACAAAATACATACAGTTGTGTGTGCATTCACAGAAAATAGTGTATAAAGTAGATGATGGAAAAATCACTTCATATTAAAAAAATCATATTACAATCTTTTTAATTTTTACATTGTTTCACCCAAAAAGCAATAATATTAAATTTAAAAAAAAGGAGACTGTTGTTTAATAATCTGACATTTCATCAGTAGGCTATATCTCAATCTTATCATGATCTGTCTGTCATTAGTGTAAATCAAACAAAACAGCTCTAACAAAGATTAATCTATAATACCATAGAGTTATTTTACATTTAGGCCAAACTATTACAGTTCGGTCGAATACTACAGTTATACTTTATTTGCAACTTTGTTATAATGTATTTATATATGCTTGAAATTAATGTATTTGTTCTTATTTTTTTACTGACTGTTCACTTGCCTTTAATAATGTTTGAACTTTATTATTTAGACTAGTAGTTTTTTATTAATGAGTTATATTTATTTCTTCTGATACTTCAATCGTTAATAGGTATAAATGTAGTTATGCCTACATGTAGTTATGTCAAGCTCACAAATATTGTATTAGGTATAAAATTGCTATTTTTGAGTAAAACCTTATCCTGTTATCAGTAAAGACTGTAAGTTATCAACATCTAAGGCTAATGACATGGGTGTCCCACAAGGCTCTGTTCTTGGGCCATTGCTGTTTGCGCTTTACATAAATGATCTTCCTTCAGTGTGTGGTGAGGTGGACATGGTAATGTACGCGGACGATATTGTAGTTTACTTGCATGGAAGTGATGCAACCATTGTAGCTAATAGGTTAACCAATGTTATGGGAAAAATCTTAGGTTGGCTTACTTCTGCCTCGCTCACACTGAATGTAAATAAAACAGTAGCAAAGTATTTTTACCAAAACTAACCGATTGAAGTTCTCCTTGCCATGCATCTATGCAAATCAGAGTCAAATAAAAGTAGTGAAAGAATTTAAATATTTAGGTCTTGTTTTGGATTCTACTTTTACTTTTAAAAAACATATTAAGAAAATTTGCAGCAAGCTAAAATACAGTTTGTCTGGTTTTAGACATATTAGGAATGCATTGACTCATGATGCTGAAAAAATTTACCTGGAGGCAATGATAAATCCTTTATCCTAAACCCTAATATTAATAACTGTATGTCTTGTTGGTCACAGACGAGTGAAACAGCAATAAAACCTTTAAAATCTTTATATAATCAAGCTGTTAAAGTATTAGATAAAAAAAAACACTGATATATCATCACTGTCTGGTTCTTGGAAAATACAGTATGTTAAACTTTGATAATATAATTGTGTATGCCAATGTGCGATTAGTTTTTAAAATTTTGAATAATATTGCGCCTCCTCCCCTGAAAAAATGTGTACAGTCTTGTTCAGAACAGATGACTAGGAGTACCAGGTCATTGCAGGTTTGCAGGCTGCCTAACCGTAGCTCGGCCTTTGCACAGACAGCCTTCTCATTCAAGGGCATTAAAGAATGGAACAAACTCCCACAGAGTCTGAAACTTACTTTTGACCTGAAGGATTTTTTCTTGAAATACAAGGAAAGTGCTATTGGAAAACCAGTTGTGCCAGCATAGATAATTGTGTATGTAAATATGACTTTTTAGTGAGGTTTTAATGTAGTAATCTTGGTATGATTTAGTTGGACTGATGGTTGTAATGGGGAATGGTTAAATGAATTAATTAATAGCTGTATTTGAGTGATTAATTATTACATTTTATATTGTATATTTTGTATTGTAACTTACCTGCTCGGGGACTGCAGATGGAAATTAGCTTAAGCAAAATCTGGTGCAAAGCATCTTTAATTAATGTTTTTTTGCACATTGTCCATGTTAAAAAAACAAACAAAAAAAAAACATGTAAATCCATTGGTCATTAAGAACCTGAAGAACATTCAGCTCTGGAATTACAGTATTTAACTATTTCAATTTGAAATATATAATTAGTGTATTTGATGATTTTAATACAGCACCACTTAAAGGGACAGTTCACCCAAAAAAAATTAAAATTCTGTCATCATTTACTCAGTCTCAAGTTGTTCCAAATGTGTATGAATTTATTTCTTCTGTTGAACACAAAATAAGATATTTTAAATAATGTGGGATATCAACTAGTTAATGGTCCCTACAAATATAATTGTGACGTAGATTCTCCGTTTGCTTTGCGTTCTCCTTTCACAAACTTGTCCATGCTTGGTGCAGAACCATGCATCCATTTATTTTTTTACACGGCTCCCTACAATATTATATTCTGATACTTCAATCGTGCCATCTACCACTCAAGCGGGTAATAAAATATGTCAAATTAATATGTCCTGTTCAGTTATTTACTTATGTGGCAAGTTGATACAAAGCTGATATTTAAATGAGGTGCAACTAAAAGCAACCTCTGGGCAAGATTTCATGCAAATAGCAATAAAATGAACTACATGGTGTCATTATGACTTCACAATGCCTACCACTGGAAAATATAAAAATAAAGTCAGAATTAGCAACCAAAGCTTCATAAGGATGGAAGGTAATGATAATTAGTCTTTATTGTTGCCACGAGACACAACGCCTTTTAGTTCATGCCAAATGAGACGAGCCTAATTATCTCTGCACTCCTCCACGGAGGCATCGCTCAGGGAGAATCAGGTTGAAGACGCTCATAATAGCTGTTCTGCTGTCTGAAATCCCATAGCAGCTGTTAGCATTACCACAAGCAAGTGGCTCATCTGGCCACATGAGTGTCCACAGTTGGATTTCTCCCAGAAGACATGATCAATTATTCACACTTGGGAGGTCATCTAAACTGTCATCTAAAAGTTATAAGCAGAGAAGTTTCATAGTAAGACTGTTGAAGTATTGTACAATTTGCAGCTTATTCTGGTCAAGATCGGAAGTTCTGTCTGACCAACATGAAAAGTGACCAATCACAGTTGGGTTTGTTATATGTGCCATTTGGGTTTATCTTAAAAGGACAGAAATGTACATCCAAAAAATGTAAATTCTGTCATCATTTACTCACCCTCATGTCATTCCAAAACGAGAAGAAGAAAGTCAAAAAGAAGACATGTCAAGTAAAAAGAATGGTGAAGAAACTAAAAAGATGATATTTTGAAGATTGTTGGTAAACAGACAGTTGATGGCACTCATTGACTTCTATAGTAGGAAAAAAGATTATTTGGAAGTCAATGGCTACAGTCAACTGTCTGGTTACCAATACTCTTTGAAATATCTTCTTTTGTGTTCAACCGAAGAAATAAACTCATACAGGTTTAGAACAACATGAGGGTGAGTGAGCAAATGATGACAGAATTTCCACTTTTGGGTGAACTGTCCCTTTAAAGGGATAGTTCACCCCGAAATTAAAATCATCATTTACTCACCCTCAAGTTATTCCAAACCCGTAAGACTTTTATTCATCTTCGATACACAAATGAAGATAGTGTTAATAAAATCTGAGCCAGTTCTGTCCCTCCATTGACAGATAAGAAACTACCACTTTGACGCTTCAAAAAGTTCATAAAGAGATCATAAAACTAATCCTTATGAACTGAATGGTTTAGACCAAATTTTCTGAAGAGACAAGATCACTTATGATAAACAGATTGAATTTAGGCTTTTATTCATAAACAAGCTCAACCGTACTTGTTTGAAGCGTGAGAACAAACCTCACTGCGTCACACACGAGAATGAACCTCATTGGTTCTTGCTGAAGCTCAAACGTGCTGCGTAACACGAGAATGAAGCTCACATCTGATGTTGAGTTGAAGTTGAACTGAGTTGAT